AATAGAACAGCAGATCAGCATATTATAATGATTTCTGAAGATCATGTGACACTGAAGACTGGAGTAATGATGCTGAAAATACAGCTGCGCATCACAGAAATAAATTACATTGTAACACACAATCATATCAAAAACAGCCATTTCAAATGTAATAATATTTCACAGTTTTATTGTTTTTATGATCCTTGTTGAGCAGAAGAGATTTTTTTAGTGTGTTACTCTGATATCACATGGCACATGGGACAAGTAATGCAGATGAGTAATTGTAATAAATAATGGTAGTATGTGAGTGGCATGTTGTAGTAGTGAGTGAGTGTGTTTGTGGATGAATAATGACTCCAGACAGCTGCTCAGACGGGATACGTGAGGAGAAGGAAGAGCAAACAAAGCCTGATTTGGGACGGAGACGCAAAGTTTGAGTGGGACGGAGAGAAAGCGTCTCGATCCTCTCTGTGTGTTCACGGCTGGCTTGATCTGGTTAAGCCTGGTGGAGTTTAAGCAGAGCTGTGATGCTGTTTCACGCTTCAGCGCTTGCAGCTGGGAACCACACTGAGACCAGTCCACACACAATGAAGGCCCATTTATACACAGTAAAGCTGCAGAAAACACTTTTGTTTCATAGATATTATATTATATGGTAAAGAAATACAATGATATTTACATATTTACTTCAAGGTATTTCAAAGAATACTGTAATATGACCATGGTAGATGTAAATTAAAATGTGCTACAAATATACCCCAGCGACTTAAGACTGGTTTTGTGCTCTAGGGTCACGTATGTTTAATTAATTATATAAATAATTAAATAAAAAAATGACAAACATTTTAAAACAATATTCCTCCAAAAACATGGTATTACTATAGTACATGGTCACAAACACAATATTACCATAGTGCATGTCCAAAAATATGGTATTACCCATTACTCTGGTGGTACCATGGTACAGTGATGGTAATACTATGGTACTTTGAAATTTACCATTGTACTGAATGATTATGATATTCATATACCATGCATATACCATGATATTTATATATTTGCTCCAGGGTATTTTATAAAATACTGTAATATTAGTATGGTAAAGGTAAAAAAAAAATCACACACACACGCACGCACGCACACACACACAATAAATATTTTAAATTAAATATATAACAAATACTAATTCAAATATTTTTTTAAATAACAAAAATAAATCAAGCAAACAACCAAACACATAAATCAACATTTGAAAAATATATTGAAAAAATATGATATAATAAAAAATTCAAATATATACATTTTAAAAATAATTTTAAGAAATACATAAATTTAAGAAAATAAAACAAAAATAACAAAATAAATAAGAAAGTACATGAATAAAAAAACTATTAAATAAACTAATTAATTAATTAAAAGTGAAAAGATAAAAATGTCAAAAACATTTTGAAAAAATTAGATATAATTATGTCCAAAAAATATGATATTATGCTAATGAAAAGTGCTGTGGTGGTACTATGGAATATACCATTGCACTGGAATTCATGTTTTTATGATACTCCATGTTATTCCAGTACCATCATTATTAATACAGTACCATGGTATTCTTGAAAGCACCATATGAAAACCATGGCACATGAATTTCAGTACTTCAGGTGCTTTTTTGTAAATGAACTACACATATGTTATATTACCATGGTACCCTGCTAAAGAACCACGGCACAGCCCAGTAAAGCTCTGAAGTCCATGCTAGTATTGTTTAAAGCGCTCCAGCTGGATGCCGTTCACAAACAATCATGTGTGATCCTCAGTGCTGTTATTTATGATGCTGCTCTTCATATTTTACAGCGCTCAGCACCTCATTAACTCTCTGGCTGGGTTTTCCACACAGAAAGCCTTTGCCAAGAAGAGCACGAGCGCCGCTTTAAACCAGCCTGGAGTTTCTACGCCTCGCTTCCCGGGTCATATGCAATTTCCTTCCACATATTCACATCTGAAATATAGCGCATGGTTTACCGCACTGGTAATTATTCACACATTAGGCTGAACATGAGGCGAGAACGAGTCATTTGATAGAGATTACACTACTTACAACAAACCAGTTCAACTCAAGTCAACATTACAGAGGAAAGCATAACAATAAAAACTTTCAATAATGATAATAATTCAATCTTTCAGAGGAAAAACACACATTTTAATAGATAAATATATAATACAAAAAATGTGTTTCATATATTTTGGTTCAATATTAATAATAATAAAGGAACAAATAACTATGAAATATATTAAATACAATTTGTGTCTTCCATCTAAAATATTGAATTATTATTACTATTGAAAATATATTGCATACAATTACAGTTCAATCCAATTCAGCATTTTAGAGTAAAGAATAACAAAAATCTTCAACGTTCAATATTAATCACAATAATTCAATATTTTAGAGGAAAGACTGTATCTATATATAACTATTAAAATATATTTAATAAATTATATATATACAGTATGTATATATATATATATATATATATATATATATTACAATTTGTATATTAATAATAAATCAAAATATTGATTTATTATTAATATTGAAAATATTACATATAATTACAATTAAACCCAATTCAGTATTTTAGAAGTATAACAATAAAAATGTTCTATATTCTCAATAGTAATAATACTTCAATATTTTGGATGAAAAACATGAATTGCAAATATAAATATATTATATAAAATGTATTTATGTATATTTTGGTTCAATATTAATAATATTACAGGGAAATATAACTATGATTTAATGATTATGATTTTTTTTTTAGGTTTTTGAAAGAGTTTCTTCTGCTCACCAAGGCTGCATTTATTTGATCAAAAATACAGTAAAAATGCTAAATATTATTGCAATTTAAAACAGCTGTTTTCTATGTGAATATCTGTTATACTGTAATTTATTTCTGTGATGCGCAGCTGAATTTTCAGCATCATTACTCCAGTCTTCAGTGTCATATGATCTTCAGAAATCATTCTAATATGCTGATTTGCTGCTCGAGAAACATTTCTGATTATTATAAATGTTGAAAACAGTTATATCCGTGGCCTGTAAATCAGAAAGTGAGCGTGGGAATCCGCTGCAGGCTCATCTGTGATGTGATGCTCTAAAATGGCGGCAGATGGAGGAGGCTGGCATTCTGCCCGCTCTGTGCCCACATGATGCCAGTGTGTGTGTGTGTGCGTGAGTGTGTGTGTGTGAGTGTGTGTGTGTGTCACGCTCACCCCTGTACGGATCAGACTGGCTGAGGTCGGGGGAAGTGGCTGACACAGGAAGCTGTGGTACTGACACCTGATTGGCCACGATGGAGTGACCGCTCCTCAAACCGTCCTCACGATGGCCGCCCACCTGGACAAACACAGAGAGAGACGTCACAAACACGTCTAAACATGCAAATGCATTCATTCTTCAGCAGATGAAAGCATCCAGAACATTCTATGGGTTTCACACAGGCCTGACCGCTCAATCCGCTCCGCTGTTAACAGCCAACAGAGGGAGCCGTAACCCTTCACAAACACAAACCCGCAACACTCCTCCATTTTACAGCCTCCATCACTCACTCTCTCTTCGGTTTTGTTAGGGTACACTCTTTCTGTAGTATGCAGTATATATTCTGCATATTATACTAATTTTCTGCATGCATGGAATAATATATTTCCAAAAATGTGTAATATATAACAGAACACACTGTGCAGAATAATGCATGCCATAATGCAATGCACTCGACATGCCATTTCCAAGGTGAACGAAGGTTTTGGTTAAATTAAAAGTTAAATTAAATTTGATCTGAGTCAAGAAAGAGAAAAAAATTAAATAAAACAAACATATATAAAAACAATTTATAAATATAATTACTCAAATTGGCAAAAATTCTAATTATTTTTTTAAAATACAAATAAAAATAATAAATAAATAAGAATTAAGAAAGACCTGAATGCAAATAATAAAACATTAAAATGATTAGTTATGAATTAAACATTTAATTTTTTTAATATTAATGGAAAGATTAAACATTATAAAAAATTAATTAGTCAAGAAAGATAATTTTTTTTTTTTTAAATAATCATTTATATATTTAAAATTCATTATTCTATTAGTTACAAGAGACAAAAATAGAAATAATAAAAATTAAAATGATTATTAATTAAAAATGTTATTTTCTTTTTTAAATATTAATGACAAAATTATACAAATAAAACATTATAAAAAAAAGAGACAAAAATAAAAAAAACAATAAAATACAAAGTTAAAAATAACCATTTATAAATTAAAAAATCACTCTATTTTAAAAATCTAAATAAAAATAATAATAAAAATATACAAAATTAAAATGATTATTTATTGAAAAAAATATTAAATGAGTCAAGGAAGAGACATAAATAAAAATATTTAAAATACTATTAAAAAAAGATATACTGTCAAGCTGAAAAGTTGCATTGTGGGATAGAGTGTTTTGCATGCATGCACGGCATGTTTCTTGTACTCTATACTGCACATTGTACCAAATATATTACAGCATGCCATCAAAATTCACAAACTATACACAGCACACACTACAGAAATAGTGTGAGTAGTATGTAGTGTGTGAGCAGAGCCAAACTCTCTCTCTCTCTCTCTCTCTCGTTCTCTCCATCCTCTAATCTTTCTTCTTCCTCTGTTGGTGAAAACACTGTGAATTTATTCAGGCAGGTAAAATACAAAGTAATGTCCCATGGTGCCGAGTGGAGAGCGGGCTGAGTCTGATCCATCTGTCTGCCATCACGTTCGCCAACACAACTGACAATTATCTTAATGCCCATATGCTTAATTGTGGGCTCCCTAATTCCCTCGATAGTACACACATCCAGCAGGAATTGTGATTTGGCACAAGTTTGCTTCCCTCTCGCTCTGTTTTTGTTTTAAGGACACGATTGGAGATCCGCGCGTCTCTCTCTCTGTAATTCCGGTTAATCCGGTGACGCTGTTGTCTCCCGGCGGCTTCATGCAAATATCAGAAAATGTCGCAGAAAGAGCGAAGGAGAGCGGAAGGCGACGTCGGACCGCATATATTTAATAAAGGTTTTCCGTTTAAAAGCAGAAGTGAATTACTGTCACACACTGAAAGAGAGAAACGGATGGAATATTCTGCTGATTTTAACATGGTAAAATAAAAATAAAAAGTGGTTAAATGGCGCAAAGAGAATAGACAGTATTGGTAAATTTATTAAAATAATTTATAAACAAACATGCATGTGCTGGAGGATTTTATGAGTGGAGATTTGGTGGGAATTGTAGTTTTGTTTATATTAATAATTCACCCACAATGTTACACAATTCCATCACTATTCACTCAAACTCATGTCATTCCTCATGTTTTCACCTAAGAAGCACAACATTAGATTTTTAGCAGTATTTCTAGAGCACTTTCTTTTCATATCAGGGGCTGTTAGGCTCCAAAAGAACAAACAAAATTCCTGTAAAAATATTAGAATTGTAGCCCACATCTGTGTTAATATTAGTCATATTATTATTGATTTATATTTTAAATTAGCTTTTATTTTAAAATTTAAAATTTTCATTTTCTTAATAGTCTTTAATGCTTTTTATTTTATTTTTTTTACCATTTCTATTTAGCTTTATTTTTAATTTGAGTTTTTTTGTTTTTTTAGTACTTATGCATATATAATTTGGTTGCCAACATTTCAAATTTTCATTTAAGGTTTTTGTTTTTCATCTAATATTTCTATTTTATTAAACAATATGACTTTTTTATTCATTTTACTTAAATATTTCTATTTAACTTTTTTATTTCAGTTTTAGTCATTTTAATACTTTAACTTATTTATTACAGTTAGGTGCCGAGGCAACATTTTTAATTTTCATTTCAGTTTTTCACCTACTGTTTTTCTGTTGCATTTTATTAAATTTTTTTGCCTGTTTTATTAGTTTTTTAATCATTCCAATTAGATTTAATTTATTTTTAATTTCAGCTGTATTTTTTTTTTAGCAATTTTAGCAATTCATTTGAGCAATTTGCCAAGTTAATATTTCTAATTTTCAGTTTTTCCTCTAATATATTTTAGTTAAGTTTTTCAGCTAATATTTCTTATTTTTTTATTCTTTTTATTTCAATTTAGCCATAATTTATTTATTTTTATTTATAATTTATTTTAGTTACACAACATTTCTATTTAATTTAATTTATCAATTTAATGATTTTTAATAGTTTTAGTTTTCAATAACAACACTGCTCCATGCAGTATTATGCACTATTTTAATGCATTTCTGCCTCATTGTATCATAAAGATGAGTCTGCACATTCTGCTAAACGTCTCCTTTTGTGTTCTGCGAGAAGGACAATCATGTTTAGGAGTAAATGATGACAGGATGCTGATTTTTGGCCGAGTGATTGTGGGAAACTGGTTCTGGTGGAGTTCCTGCAGTCCCTCAGTCTTGTAGTTAATTAGGGGTTAGTCGTTAACCGAGACCTCACTGGTATTACTATACTTGTGGGGACATTTGGTCCCCATAACGTGATGAATACCAGGTGCACACACACACTCACACACACACACACACACACACACACACAGAATGGTTAAGAATATGAAAATTAGCTCCATGAAAAGTGGCAGCAGAACACAGAAACCATGTTTTTAAGTGTTTATCTGTTCTAACAGACTCGTTTGGATCTTAATGTTTGACATATAAGTCTTTATATGATATCAGATATCATATCAGATATCATATGAGAGTATTTTCCTTTTAAAGTGTTTTAAAGGACTTTTATTTTGAAATAAAGGCTTGATGTTCTGTAACTAGTACAAAAACATCATGATTATGACATCACAACGATCAGCTCATTTACATAAGACCGCCCACATTTACACATCAACACCCAATCACCAGTTTGTTTGCATTTTTAAAAAGATTTTACCAAAGTTTTGGGAATATTTCTATTGTATGTAACCATTTTTGTCTTTATACATTTAAAAAAAAAAAATATATATATATTTAAGTTTAACTTTATATTTATTCCACTTTAGTCATTTTAGTACTTCAACTTATTTCAGTTAGCTGCCAAGGCAATATTTCTCATTTTCATTTGAGTTTTTCATATAATGTTTCTGTTTTATTGAACAAATTTTGATGTTCGTTTCACATTTATGAAAACTAAACTACAAAAACTACAAAATCATTCAGAAATCATCATCACTGACATCACAACTATGAGCTCATTAACATAAGACCGCCCACATTTACACATCAACGCCCACTCAGCAGTTCGTCTGCATTTATTTAACAAAAATAAATGCTATGAAGGCACTTAACATGCATACTTCTAAAGATTTTTGTGGGGATATTTTTATTGTATTAAAAATTTTTTCTCTTCTATTCTACTTAACTTTGTTTTTATTTCATTACCATTTCTCATTTTCATTTAGGTTTTTCATCTAATATTTCTATTTTATTCTATTTAACAACTTCTGATGTTCTGTAGTTCAAAAACAACATTTATGGAAACTAAGCTCATTGAGAAATCACTGTGATTATGACATCACAACTATGAGCTCATTAACATAGGACCGCCCACATTCACACATCAACGCCCACATGACCAGCCCTGATCATAACAGAGGTCATTTACATAAAGTCTTTAAAGGTACAGCAGCAAAACCAGCCTGTTTAATGGGTGGAAATGATCCTGAAAATATGAATTATGCATGAAACTAAAGATATGCATCTAAATGAAAAATAATTTGGCATTTTAGAGAGGATCTGGAGAGACCGGCTCTGAGGAGGTTCTTCCAGACCTGGTTTTAGCAAACTCCTCTGAACTACAACAAACCAGGACAAATTAGCAGAGCACTTTCAAAGAAAGAGAGAAAATTGCTTGCTGGTGACTCTACTGAATTAAGATGCTTTATTTCTACCCAGATGCTCAGAGTCTAGAAACATCTCCTTCTTTATAACGATTGTTGCACATAATTCATAATAACAGTGCAGTTTTTTAATACAAATCTCTAATTCTTTACTTGAGAAGCAAAATGACTGAAGATATTAAGTCTCATTTTCTGAAAAATGTATTAAAATTAAGTGAGTTTTCGATTTCGATTTTTTGAATTAAGTTTATTTTTCTGACTCCACTGGAAGATAATAAAGAAAAAAGAATCAATAAATAATAAATAAACAAATTATAAAAATTAAAATATTAAAGAAAGGAAAACAAATAAATAATATATAAATGAATTAATTAATCAAATATGAGCATAAAATAAACAATACAATATGAAAAAAAAAATTAATAAGATAAAAATATTAAAGAAAAATCTAATTATTGAAAATTAAAAATATTAAACATATTAAAA